TTTTTTTTGAAGTCAATACTTGCGATCAGACCCACATTTCCTACTTGATTCTCTTTCTAATGGATCAAACCCACAATTTCAGAATTTAATGACTGCTCCTGAATGGGAAATTTGGCCCCAGTATGAGCCCAGAAAAGGGACTTTGAGAAGCTTTTATTGCTGGAGGAACATGTAATTCTTTAGGGCTTCTGTCACTGTTGGTTGCAATTTCCTGCTTGGTTTACTTTTGTGGTGTTGATGGTTTTTATTTTAAAACAGTTCAAAACAGGTAACTGTCTTTAATTAAAATGTTTTTAATTAAGCAGTTAAAATGCCTTTTAACTGTTTAATTATCTATTTCAGCTTATAGATTTAAACTAACTGCCTGTATTTAGAGAGAGGATTTCTTCCCCCCCCCCTCATTCTGTAGTATTCTAACACTCTAAATGTTAGAAATAATCTGTGGAGCATCTTGAAACTTAGAACACACTTGTGACAGAGAAAATAATGCTTTGACATTTATATTTGCAAGTGTTTTTATGGAAGTATAGGTGTGTTCTGTTTGACATGCTGTTGTCTGCAGAATCTATTTTAGTGTAAAATGGCCATCATTAGTAGAAACAACTATCTCATCCAAACATTTAACACTGATGTTTAAATGTGAAAGCCAGCAATATTTTTATTTTAAACACAAAGTTGGTGAATTTTGAAATCAACATTCTATTATTACACATTGCAGTTTTAAGCTGCTGTTAGCATTTTAAGTCTGTGAGAATAAATTCAGTAAAAATTGAATTCCTGGTTGGCTTTGGCAATAAAGTGTTCACTTAGGCTTTTTTGCTCTGTTTTAATTAAGTGCAAGTACTCAGTGTTTTAAAAGACATTGTTTTAATCTAGCGTACATATGAAAGAGCCACTAAAAGTAATATTTGAAACTTTTAACAGTCTTGCAGTATTTGCCTTGGAAAACATGAAAAAAACAGGGAGCAATTACTTCTTTTACTTTACAGCTCCCATGAAAATAGTTGTGTAGTGTGTTTTTTTTTTTTTTTTTCTGTTTTTTACTGTAAATTATATTAATTGCATTTTTGGAGGATTTACCACTGATTCCTTGTAGCTTCTTGGTTCATTTACTTTTTTTTAGGCAATCTAGTCTTTGTACTATGATTTTCCCTATAGCATGTGCCGCTGATTCCATTCTGCTGTTGTGCGTTCATTATGGGACGAGGCAGGAAAAGCTATTATATTGTTCTTAAAACGTCACTGTTATCTTGTATTATTTTCTTGAGAGTGTACTGCCCTTCCTGTCATACACTTTAAATTGATTTCATGGGTGAATAGAATTGTCTGAATAGCCACATGCTAAAGGCAATTGCTGTCAGGCATTCTCAAGTGGTAGTTTTCTGAATAATGACAATATTACAAAAGCTTTGTCTGTACCTGCACAAAACATGGGAATGACTATTCTGTTGTTAAGTATGTGCTTCATGCTTGTCTTTGGTACCTCCCTGAAGCACATAGCTTTTATCCTTTTCATACCTTTGGAGATTCTGTAGACCTGTGAGGAAAAGTCAGCAAAGAAATGTCAGCATTTGCTTGCAGTAGAGTACACGTTGGTCTAAGAAACATCTCTAGTAGAAATAAGGCTGTTCTTTTGAAAGGAATGGAAAGATAATGGCCATTTGAATCAAACTGTCCTTGGATGCACCATGACTATTCACTGATCTCTAAATATTGTCATCATAAGTCAGATTCCCAGAAGCACAAATGGCTCCAAAACACTTGTTGAACGAGTCACCATGAGTCAATTCCTGCAGCTTCTCATGTATGGCCACAAATATAGCAAACCAGCCGTACACACAGTGGTACAAGTGCATGTGAATTAACATAGATGAAATACCTGTTTTAATCTGTCAGGTGATTGCATATCTGTACATATGTACACGCACATACCAGTTGCGTATATGCAAAATCAACCAGATATAAAGTGTTATTTGAGTAATATAACATACATTTTTGTTCAATCTAGTTATAGATATCTCATGTTATGCTGCTTCTGTGATTTTCACATTTTGCAATATAGTTTGTAGGTTGTGTTTTTAAGTTCTTTTTTGCATTTTAATCCTATTTCCATTAAAACAAGTAAAATACGTGTTTCTTGATTTTAACTTATTTTCCTTCTTTATTTCAAGATAACACTCCTTACATCAAATTATGCAGCTCAGATCTTATTAGTCTATTCTGATTGCCTGACCCAACCATGCAATGAACTTGAAAGCTGTTTATATGTTTTGAATGTCAGTTTCTTCAATTGTAATTGTTGTTGTATTAATAGCATTTGCTTCAGCAATGGCTTTTGGGTAACAAGATGACTCCAAAGTAATCTTGTGTTCTGGCTGCAGAAATATTAGATTAGAGATGTGCAGTTTATATAAATTTTTCACAAACTGTGAATTTGCCCTATAGGCTTTCAATCTCAATGACTGTAGAGTTTACCAGTTCTGAGGGCTTTTCTGAGGTTTTTTTTTGTTCTGAACCCCAGATTCTTGGCGGTTAAAATGAGAAGCATTTTGCATTCATGTTATTGATGGTCCTGAATGGCAATTCTTCCTTGAACACAAATGTATTTTTATCAGCCTGATTTTATTCAAGGAAAGTATTATCCAACGTAGGAATTTCTTTGAAGATTGGAAGTTGAAAACCTAAAGCAAATAAGACTCATGATAAATAATGTGGTTGTTAGAAACTTGCTTGTGTTATAATGCCATTCATATATTTGTGCAAAACTCTGGGGGCATTACAGAATGAACTAGTCAGGGTTGTGGCTTCCAATAAGTCTTACCTGCAGTGTCTTCTGAAATATTGTTATTTGATTATTACTAGAAACTTGGTAAAACTTCTGTAGCACACCTCATCTTGGAACGTTGCATATTTGCCATAGAAGTCCAAATGTTAACTTCTAAATTTATTTTAATTTTTTTTTTTTTTTAAATGTGGAAAATTTACAGTTCTCTGCCACATTCCAGGTAGGAATGGATTATTTTGAAAATCAAAGGCTCTTTCAGTAGCCAGTCATGTCTCAATAGCTACTTATTATGCAGTTTCTGGCATAAAGATTAATAGTATTAAGTTATGAAATGAGCCTTTAAAATAGGAATCTAGCTTATAGGTATGTACATATCCTGGAAGGCAGGCTTCAGAATGGAAGGCATTCATAGTATCAGCTTTCTGTTCCAGCCTCCTGTGTGTGTTTTTCTGTTTGATATTTTCACTTCCCCTCCACATCGATGACTTGATTATAACTGCCTCTGAAACCATTAATTGGGAAGGTGTTGCAGTGTTTTTTGCAGTTCATTGTTTTCTGAATAAAAAACAAATAGCAAACTTTGCTTGCATTTTTTAATGGACAAAATGAACATAGCTGTGATTTTGTTGATCACAGTATTCCTTTTATCTTTTGTACAATAAACAAATTTATATATTAGATATCAAATTTATGGCTAGTAACACAATAATTTTGAATAAAAAATAGCAGTGAAATTTAAAACTTTTGTCCATTTTAGTGACTTTGTTGGCTGTGTACCTTTGCCTGCTGTAGGTAAAGTTTCTGGGCAAATCTGAAGTGCTGGTAAGGCTGTATGTTCCCAGCAGCTTTTCCCCTCTTCCCCAATGCGATCAGCAGCAGACATTCAGCATTTGTTTTTGGCACAACAGGCCTAACATGATCAAATGTCTTGTTCTTTCCTTGTGCCTTTGGAAAACGTGGTAGTAATAGTAGTTTGAAGCTGAATCTTCATATCTTACTGTCAATACTATGTCTGCTAGAGAGATAACATAGTATGATTGTTTTCAAATTATTCTGTAATGAATCTGATGGTCCAGTGAAACAGATCAATTTACTGTGATAAAAGAAAGGGTATAAATGCTGTATATAAAAAATTAAATTAGGAGTCCTATATGAAATAACAATGCTGCTTATGGAGTTGTCATTTATAGACTCAAAAATTTGTATTTATTGATAGTGCTTGAAGAATGTGATGTGCGTAATGTTATGTGAGATATTTCATCAGAGGAATATGGACTTATGCTCTTGACAGTGTCTTGTCTGACAGTCTCTGCTCCTGGCCAATGTCAGTCAGCTGCACCTCAGTCTAAGAAACTCATAAATCTTCAGCAGAAGTTGAAAGGTTGCTCATGCTGTAAAAAGATTGTTTTTTAATTTTTTTTAATGAGTGGTTAAACTAATTATAGATAAATAGAAACCATAATGAATATGTTGTGAAAAAAGAAGCAATTTTTTTGGATAAAAGTGAATCTTATTACTTTAAGTTTTGCTCACTCAAGATTTAGGCTGTACTTCTGAAGAGAAACATTTACTTGGGATTGATTTCTGAATTTTGAGAACCCCTAAATCCTGTTGAGTTAGCTTGGATGTCTCTGGATGTCACTTGCCTGCCCGAACAGATGAAGAATTCTGTTTGATCATATTTAAATACTGTGTGACAAGCAGTTTGGAGGTTGAGGTTCTTCAGTGTGGTTGATATATCATTAATACTTTCTGGTAAAACAGGGACAGTACTCCAGAAGCTTCCTCTGCAAACCTTCTGTATAGAAAAGAACATAATTTGGTGGGAAAATGGGTGAATATGGAGGTTTTTAACAATACATAAGATTGTAGAGGGCAGTGTGACATGCATCAAAGCTGCTCTTCTCTAGAGGCTGCTTGTGAAGGATTCAAGCTTCTGGATTGTATTTTATACCAAATAGATTATGGTACAGAATACACCATTTTCCCTCATCAGTGAATTGAACACTTCCAGATTCACCTGTCCAAATTCTACCTTGGATTTGTCCCCAGGACTTGAAAGGTCAGTATGTTAAAACACAATCAAAACTAGAGAACGTACTCATAAAACAACCATCTCGAAGTAATCCCTTAATAGCATTTTGTCAGGAAATTGGCTTCTCTGTCACAGATTGTCCAGAGACAATCAAATGAGGACTTTTTTCTTTCTCACAAGGATCAGTTTTATTACAACATACCAGTATATCACTTCTTTTTATCTTTCAGTCTGCACAAGGTGGTGGTCATCGAACACTACTCTACGGGCATGCAATCTTGCTGCGCCATTCCTACAGCGGCATGGTATGTAACAGGAGCTGAGAGTAGCAAAGATTTCTTTTTTTCTATGAAAGTCATGTTCAAAAGTGTTTAGACTATTCCCATGTGCTGGTATCTGGAGAGTTATTCACATCAAATAGGCATTTTACCTGTAATGGAAACCTTTGTGAAGGGTAGATGCTTGGAAATTTGAAACTAAGCTGGTCATACCTGGGTAAGTGCTAAAACTAAGTCTGGTTAAAAAAATGATGAGTTCTCTGTTCATCAGTGTATTTTGAGTTGGTGGTTTCTCATTTCTTTTCCCTTAGATATTGCATATTGCATAAGCTGAGACTGAATCCCACAGCTGGCAACCTGAACTTACATTGGAGACTGAATAGTAAAGGAAATTCCTTCGTGCAGATATTTTCAATTCCCTGATGAAATTGTATGGGTTCAAAAATCCTTAACCACAAGTGAGGCTTCATGAAGCTGAAAATTCATGCAGCCAGCTCCTTTTTTCCACTTTCACTATTCCTATCTGAGTGGAAAGATAACCTGGATAGACTGAGAGTTTATTTTAGAACATGCATCTTTGTCAAGTCTCCCTGAGTACCATTCAGTTTATCAGGCGTATATGTTCGTGATAGTAAGCAGTGGAGATAATTTAAGAATAGTTAATCCTGTGTTAGTAGGTTGATGGTTTTATCTTTCAGTGGATTTTCAGATGTGAGCAGAACTGATCATGCATGCTTGTTTTCTTTTGACAGTATCTGTGCTGCCTCTCTACATCTCGATCGTCAATGGATAAGCTGGCATTTGATGTAGGATTGCAAGAGGACACAACAGGTAAACACTAGCTTGAACAACTATGTAATGAACAATGATTTCAGTCTGAAAATCAGAATAGAGACCTATAAATGCATATAAATCATGTAAAACTTCAGACTATTTTAAGGACTACAGAAACAATTCTGTAGTTTATACCTTCAATATCTTATCTTTATATTTTCTAATAGATCATGTACTTTCTTTTCTGTGAGATCGAAACACATCTATTGATATTTAAATATAAATTTATGCTATTGAATAGAAGTAAAGGAATATTCCCCAGTTGTTATTCTGTAGAACCCTTCTGCTGAAAAAAATTTAAACTTGTATTATTTTAAATAAATATTCTATTAACGTTTTAGAACTGCTGCTGACTTAGATTTGTTTGTATTTTTCAGACTGATAAAGCTTCTTACGATGCCATCATTTTGGTGTAATTGTTTAACTAGAAATAATGTTTGCTTGTTTTTTAAAGCTGTGCTCTAGCTAGAAGTAATAGTAATAACAGCAACAATTGAAGAGTTCCAAGATCAAAGAAATCTTTTCTGAAAGTCATGTTCTTTGTTCAAGAAGTGTATCTGAAAACAAGGTTTATCATGGGAGCAGAATTTGTGACTTTAATACTTATACATATTCTGGGGAATTAGAGACACAGTTAGTAGGAGTGGAAGAACATAACTGAATTTGGGTTTATGAGAAGTTTCAAATATTATTTTAAGGGATATTGTAGGTGTTTATTTTTATTGCCCTTAGTGATGGATTGCTTAATTTTTTTTTTTTTTTGTTCTAATTCTTGGTGAAATATTCTTCAGTGTCTTTCCCAGAACCTGGAACAAAGGTGGCAGGAAAGCTCCTTGGCAAAAGCAGTCTGGACAAAGTTGCTTAGAGAACACAGAGAGCTGCCTCCTTACTCAGCTCTGGAATCACTTTTCCAGAACTCTTGCTCTCTTCTGCATATGTGTATTATTTGCAGCTGAGTTTGAGAAGGTGGTGTAGGACTGACATTAGTTATTAAAAACATATAGGCACTTGGTTTACACAACTGAACTGGATTACAACTTTAGGACTGAGGTAAATGTGAAACCAATGGCAGTAACGTTTGACATTTTCTTTCTAATTTCTTTCTCTGCTATTACTCAATAATGATATAGGTGAGGCATGCTGGTGGACCATCCATCCTGCTTCCAAGCAACGATCAGAAGGAGAAAAAGTGCGTGTTGGAGATGATCTTATTTTAGTCAGTGTCTCTTCAGAAAGATATTTGGTAGGTTCTGTAGGAATATCTATGAAGTGCTTCCTCTACAGAAAAAAAAAAATGTTAATAATAAAGTCTGGTTTACATTTCCACCTCCATAAAAGTATAGCTTAAGGTGTTTAAATTGATATTTGATACCATTTTGCAAGCCAAGACGCTGAAGATATTCACTTTTTTTATGCTATGAAACATTTCTGAGTTTTTTACAGTATTCAGAAAAAGTGAAGAGCTTAATAAAACTTAGAAATATTTTTTCCTTTTTGACAAAATTATACATTCTAATTAGAGCTTAGTAACTCATTTAGTGAGTTATTTTTTGTAAGTAGACATTCTGATAACTTTCTGATGATCTTGACATTTGAATTTTTTTTTTCTAACTACTTTTATGAGAATTGTAATTGTACTTACTAGAAAAGCAACTTATTGTGGACAAAATTAATGAGAAATGTAATTAATGAATAGTGTTTATTTAAAGACATTGAATTTCTTTGAAATGTATTGAATTGTTGAGTTGTTGAAGTTGAACTTTGCTCCAGATTGTGTTTCTGTGCAGGTGTATGTCTAGATTCATACTTTGTGTCCTCTAATTAGTAATCAGCCCAGGCTTTTACAGTATTTAGGGTTTGTGCCTCACCTATTGATTCCCAAGGCTGTCATATGTACTTTTATATGAGAGACATGAAGTTGACTGCAGAGACTCATTTTCCTTAACACGTGGTGTTAATACATATACTGCATGTTCCATGCAAAATATAAATATACTAAAAATAAATTGTATTTTCAGTGTAGAGAGAAAAGAGACAAATTTATGTTCCTGATATTGTATTATAGTATAAAATTGGCTTAGAGCTAGATTTTAATGAATTGTTATTAAACCTATTTTGTTATGTAGCTCTAGTTTGATAGTAAGAAGGAGCAAGGATTCAGCAAATTAATTTTGCTCTTACATACACTCATCCCCCACATTTTTATGAACCGATGTTTTTTTCAGACTAAATTAAGAGCTGGTGAACTACGTAGCTTCACTATCATAACAATATTTGTGGTTTTGCTACCTACTCAGTAGCTATATTAGCACTGTAAATAAAGCAATGATACTTCTATGAAAATTCAAACAGTTGATGAAGACTGAGCTAGCCAGTTACTAGTGAGTGAATATTTGTCATAAAATCAGTCTCTCTGCCTCACACTGTTTGTCTTTATTGGGCTTTCTACAACATAACTTCAAAGGATGTACCTTAGAAAATAATGACAGCATTTTCATTTTGAGTGTAGTGTCATCTTATAGTCCCTATTTTCTACAACACTTAAAGTGATGTAGCAACTGGTACGTTTTACAATAGTTAGGGCTGTGGAGAGATTAAGTTATTTTTTTATGAATCCACTTCAGAGAGTGAGATCAAACAGGCTCTATTCAATCCAGATGAGGAACACTTTTTCTAAGGGTGAGAAGTTCCTCAGATGGATTCCT